GCGCCGCGGGAACAGAACCGCAAAGGGCGGCTGGCTTTGCCAACTGCCGGCCCGTGAGGCCAACAACAAAGAGTGGGTTATATTTCAGGAAAGGCTGCTGAAAGATGAACAAAATGAATTATAAAAACCGGACTTGGTATTTGTAACAGGGGGCCAGGGCCTTGTGGACGTTACGGTGAGATACGGATGTAAGGCGACGTCTGTGGTGGATGCAGCGACAGGAAAAGTAAAGAAATATCAACATCTCAAAAATCAAGAGCTGACGAATGCTACTAATATTAAATTTATGGGTTTCCCTTTGGGAGCTCGTGGGAAGCGGTCCCAAGGCAGTTACGAGTTACTGACTGATTTAGGGCTCGCAAGCTCCTGACAAGAAAAAGTTGCTCGTTGTCTGTCAAACCGAACGCTATTCACTCCAGCTGATATTACATGTGTGTTTGCAAGTCAAGCACAGACTGTTAAAACATCACGATAATTGAATTGTAACCGTATCATTCATTGAATTATAAATAAACTGACTCTTTCCTTCTACCTATCCATCATCTGGGGTAGAACTAACCTGCTCACGACGGGTAGAGTGGGAACTAAACCCCAGGAAAGTCCAAGGAGAATCGATTGAGATCTAAAAGATGGTACGTAGGAACAACAAGGGACTCAAAAACATGATGCTCCTAGTGAGAGACAAAAACTACCAACGTGGGCCAAGGTGGACGGGCCACCTATATTTAAGCCGGAAAAGTAATGTGTATAATTTTATATATGTTCGATAAATACTCGCTGGACGTAGGCAGGGTCGCCGTTTTGCTGGGGGTCAGTGAGGGGAGTGTAGCGGCCACTTAACTCTGCTGGTGCTGCTATTTGGTGTCAGAGGATTCCTCTGTAGGAAAAAGCGTTTCGCTATCGTAAAAAAGGTCTGCACGCACTGGAGGGGCTCACAGATGGAACAATTTGTTGTGTCTAGGGAAAAGGGAGAAAACGAGGCAGGTAGGAGCCCTGAGGCAGCGTGAGATGGGGTAGTATCAAATGGGGGGAAAAAAGTTGACTGACAACATGCTGAAATTTCCTGTATCAGAAAAAGAGAAGCAGCTAATTCTTCCTTTGCACTGCCACCTTTTCAAGTGTCTCTTCTCAGCTGGTAGCATCAACTTTCAAAATCTTGGCTTTCTTCCCCCATAAGGAAGGACTTGCTGGGGTTATGCAAGCACTGGCGCTCAGACTTAGCTACTTTGAGCATGCTGTGTTTAGGATGAGGAATGAAATTAGATTAATTCCCTGAGAGTCAAGGCTGGGAAGGTGAATTACTCTTTTGTGCCCATTTTTAAAAGCTTTCTATTGAAGCACAGTTAGGGCTGCTACTCCACCTTGAGGCACTAATAAATGCAATTGAAAGACTTGGTTACATGCTGTTTTCAGGTATTTCGCAAGATAGAAATAACTGAACCTCTACTGTTTGTAACAATACTGAATTTAAGATGGTAGGCCTTGCTTTTGACTATGTAAGGCATGAATATACCTGTAGTTGGAGTGCAGGTGGTTAGTTCCTCATCAGACTATGCTTCAATTTGAATATTTCCAATTTGCAAGGCATAAAAGCTCAGATTCAGTGACCGAAAGATGCAATTGAGATTATCAGTCTTCATAATTGGTAGGGAACATAAAAGAGCATTTTTGAAGGGTGGCTTGCATAGGAGATTTTAATAATCTGGAAATTTAAGCTTTTTGTTAGTAGCATGACTGGTAAAAGGTTGTGTAGCTGAAGGTAAGGACAAAGAGAAAGAAATAAAACAGTACCTGCAGGCCTGAGTTTCACTTTCATCGAGCACAGAGGCACTCCCACGCACATGATCTTTATCCAAAAAGTCGGGTGGCTGCGATGTTGAGCTCTTACTTTGAGGAGTTGACAGAGCAGAACTTGAACTGATGCTTCTGGAAGTCCCACGGTGCTCAAGGAAGTAATTAGTAATAATTTCAAGAAGTGTTTTCAGTGGGTTCTCCTTTGCCTGTCCAAAGAGAAAAATAAAGTTCTTGGTGACTATTGAAACTTTTTGTTAGTCTTGCTGCAGCCTAAGATAGGATATTCTTTTTACACTGAACATATTAACTACTTTCTAGAGTTAGCTGCCTATGGATGTGTCCCAGATACTGTGACTGTACAAACAGCTCAGGAAACTGGAAGATGTCAGCTAGAGAATGTCAAGAGCTCGAAGGTGTTGCTGTGTTAAGTGATGTAACCATGATATAGAAGAAAAACCCTGTTACGGTCATTCCTTATTCTCATCGCTAAGCATTGCAAAGTATGGTACTGCGCTAGAATACACCTTTTCTAATGTTACCTGGTCAACTTCAGAAGAATGTAGAATGAACTGCAAGTATTTTTAGTACCTCATTTGAGTCTTTGTGGTTTATTTCATCAGAATTTGGTGAGAAGCGTGGCCTCTAGAACTCTATTCACATGCTTGGGATAACTCACTTGTTATACTGTTTTTCAATAGTACTCTGGAAAACACATCCTGTGTACATGAGCATTTCATTAAAAAAAAAAAAAAACCCAAAAAAAAGAGAAACACCACAGAAGTTTAGGGCTTAAGTAAAAAAATGCTATGTGATGGCTGCTATAGTGATGTAACAACACTAGGAGATTTTTTTTGAGGTGACTTACTATAGGATAGCCTCATGCTGCTTACCAAGAGCATCATGGTGCCTTAAGTCACGAGTGAAATGGAAGTTATCCATTGATGTCCCTGTCATCAAATATTGCTGTCTATATTACATTTCAAAGAATAATAAATGCTAGAAGTGTAATTTTATCTGCCAAGTCTTATATAACGTTGCAAATAAAAATGGGCATGTAAGGGTACTTCCAAAACTGAATAATCTAGCCGTTATGATGGAAAAGGTGCTAAAGTGAATAACTGCTCCTGGTTTGTTGGAGGTTGCAGTTTGTAACAGGGGTTCGTAACTGCCAGGTTCTCAGCTGCGTCCCAAGAGCTGCAATCTCACCTAAATATTATATTCTCCATTCCTCAGAGAACTGTCGGCATGTTCCCAGCAGATACAAGCTTGAGTTCTCCACTGTTTGGACATACACTACGGCCTTGATCTGGTTGGCCTAGTTTCATGCGATCTGATACCACATTTTGGGGAGCATGATCTGTTTCCTTACCTTGTTCTGTTTGTACAAGGAGTGCAGGTGTAGGACATTTCGAAGTTCATTCCTGTTATTGATACTAAGTGCAGAACGTGGAAGCTCTTGGTCCATGGTGGTGATGGTTTTCTTCAAACCCTGAGAAGGAGAAGTGTCAGATTTAAGAGTACTTGAGACAGTACAACCTAGCAAAGCATTTATTCTTGACTTTGTTGGAGGTAATATGAAACTTCTTGATACATTAAACCAGCAGTAATTAGTAACAAGCTAACCTTTAGAACCTGTATTTGAATGGAACAATCTTGCATTACTGCAGCCCACAGATGTGAGAATAATTAAGATGGCAATATTGTCTGTGAGGCAGAAATTACCAAACATGGAAAAACAAAAGACCATGTAGGTGACTTCAGCTGCTAAACAGCCTCCTAAGACTGACTGGTCTGTATGAAGGCTCTTGCTGATACCTGGGCTTCTGGTTCAAGTAGTTCCAGAAATACTGAGTTTGCTTTTTCCACCAAGGTATGATATAGCTTTTCATGAATGTGATTCTGACTTGGGTAGTTACAAAGTCTGAACATCAGGTGTACGCTATCTCTTGGTGGGTCCAGAACCTTTATCTGGACTTCAGGTTATTGTGATCAGTCTCGGGTTGGAAATCGGTCAGATCTCCATGGCGTCGGCTAGTTTGGGGTCTTCAAACTTCCTCAACTACTTAGTATCTGTAGTCGGCATGCATGGGCACTTCAGAGACAAAATGTGCGGGCATCTCACTTTCTGGAGGGAAAAACTGAAATGTCACAGTCAGATCCTGAACTAATTCAAGTGGTGCAACAGCAGACCACCATTTTGAGAGAGAAAGTCCTGATTTCTTCTCTGAAGAGCTATTGGTACAAAAAAGGATTTCTTTTTTTCTGCAGATGGATTGTCTGACTCAGATTTAGGGAACTATGAACAAGTTGTGGCAAATAAAGGGTGGTTTGCGAAGTTGGGCAAATAAAGGGTGGTTTGCGAAGTTGGCTCTGATGTGTATTAAAGATTTGGGGGGAAGCAGGGGAGCACTTGCGCAGAAGCACAAAGATTATCAATGTCCCTTGGTTTTGACTCCAGAGTACAGACTATGAAATAGATGTGACAATTCAATTATAAATTACTATTGTAAGCTTTTTTTCAGTTTTTCATTTACAAGTATCTAACTCAGAAATGTAAATATCTTTCATTTGAAAACTCTTTGCAATCAATTGACCAGACAGAATTGAGCCTCTCATACTTCTGGCAAATACTGAAGCGTGCATCTGAAATTCTGCTGGCAAATGTTTCAACTTTGTTCACAAACATGGAAAATGTGCATTTGGAGACTGGATGCAAAACAGATCAAGAAAATTGAGGTTTGTGTAGCAGTGGCTGTTTAATTTCTGATACAAGCTAACTCATTCCTGACACTGAGGGACTGACTGGGCTGGACATGGGCAATATTTCCTTAGGATTGAACATAAATACCAGGCAGTAGGTACTTTCACCTGGAAATGCAAAGATGCCTTTTCTTCTGCTCAATCCCACACCTCTGTACAGTACAAAGTTTCCTTTACAGCATTAAGTTTGTGAAAAGTACAGTGGCTTCTGTCATCCCCTTATCTCTGTCCCCTTCCCCCCAGATAAATCTGTCTCCCAACCTATTACTGAAAACTGGAAAAAAAGCATGTTACTGGTTTCTCTAGCACCAGTACCATTTGCTTTTTTTTTTTTTTTTTAAAAGTCTTTGTCCTGGGAAGTTGTTTATGCCTCTTGTAAACACAAGGACAATAGCAAGATAGATAAATAATGATTAAAAAAAAAAATGCAACCACATTTCTTGATTTAATTTTGGGTTTTGCAGGCGCATGTGCGTAAGAATCAGGCTGTCTCAAACAAGGAGGAAGCTGACTTCCATGTTCAGCAATAAACAGGCATCGTGGGAAATGTAGTGCAGCTCCTTTCCCGACAGCCTTGCTCCCATTCAGGTCTGGCTGCTTCAAGGCTGGAAGAAGTCCCCCCTCCCAGCGTTCCTCAATCTTTTAGCACTTAACACTTTTCAGGTGTCATTCTCATTTGTACAAGCTGGAGAAAATCGAGACAAGTTACCTTTCTACTGAGAAATTCTCTCACCAGTGATGCAGCCACTTCTTCCACAAAGGAGTTGTCCATTTTTTAGCCCAAAGCGTGCTTAGGGGGCGTATTCTTTACTTCATCTAACAAATCATTCAAGTCTGCCGACATCTCAGCTCTTCGGTGCGGCCTTTAACTGCCGCAGTCCCGCAGCGGCGGTGGGCTGGACGGTAGCGGCAGGGCTGTGTGCAGTCCGGTCGCTGGAGGAATGTTGCTGTGGAGACCGTGTCATCGGAAGGAGGTAGAACTCCTCCCCCTGGGAAGGAAGCTGGTGATAGACTTAAAATGCAAAGAGTTCATGGTGTAGCGCTGCAGGAAGCATCTCGGTCATTGCTTTAAATAATTGAGAAAGGAATGTTCAAATCTGAGAGAGGGGACAATCTTCTGATTTTATTTTTTTAAGAAGCATAGTTATTTGCAACCTATTAGTCCTGTCCTGATGCAACTTATCACCGTAGATGTTTCTTTAGTAAAATAGCACTCTTGTATAAAACAAACAAAAAAATGCAGCTGCTAAATTAGGTTTAATCTTCATGCTGGCAACATCTTGGGGGGGGGGAAGCATTCTTCAGTTGAATCTTTCCTTTCAGACTGCACCTATGTTTGCCGGTAATGCAATATGCTAACGGTAGAGATTGTGGTGTGTAACACTTCGGGCTTGGGGATCTGATTTTGGTTGGAGAGGCCATGTGGCAGGGTACTGTCCCAGGATTGAGATTCCACAGCCTGGGCAACCCCTTCCAATATTTGACCACTGTTAGGTGAATAAACTATTTCCCTTATCTAGTTAAAGTTGCCCCTGCTACAGCTTCTGACTGTTTCATCTTACGCCTTTAACTGTGCCCTCTGAGACAAATCTGGCCTTATCTTTTCTTTAACCCTCATTCAGTAGTTGTATTTAGCATCTAGACCCTCGCCTGGTCTTTTTCTCTTTAGGCTGAGCAGACACCGCCCTCTCAGTTGCTCCTTGTGTCTTGTGTGCTTCAGCCCCTTAATTGCCTTGCTGGTGCCTTGCTGTACTTGGTCCACTTCCTTCATCTCCCTCTCAAACTGAGTAGTGAGCAAAGCAAAATAAAACATGGTATTCCATATGCAGCCTCAGGAGTGCTTCACAGAGGGGCGTGAACACTTCTTTTGATGTGCTGGTTTTGTGCTTTTCCTAGTGCAGCCCAGTATGTGGTTAGATGCCTTTGCTACAAGTGCATCCTACTGACTCATTTTCAACTTGTCTGCCTGCTCTGCAAGATCCTTTTCTGTATAGCTGCTGTCTTGCAGAACCAACACACTTAGGCTGTATTATTGCGTGGGTTTATTTCATTCTTATTGCAGGACTTTGCATTTGACCTTCACATCACCCACCACTTTCTCCATATGCATGTGTAGCAGGCCAAGCAGAGCACCCCTCTTCATCAACTTGTCTACACAACATCAAAACATTATTGTCAACATATTCCAGAAGTCTCTTGGGTTGGTTGTGCCAGGCCACGTTTCTCTTCCATGAGACACTGAGATGCTTAAAATCCTCCATGAGAAGCAGGACATGGTGATGGTGAAGCTTCTTCCAGTTCTCTGAAGTTGTCATTTCTTCTCAATGGAACAGACTGTGACAGATCCCCATAGCAATGTTTTCCTGGTTTTTTATATAATTTTGCTTGGTAGGGCATCAGCTGAAATCTCAGCCTTAAGTCTGCCACACCTGCATGTAGGCTCTGTGGCTGACAAAGGGTGGAACGTGACTCACTGAATGACTCACCCCTACAATGGAAGAGTGGTCAGTGGAGATGGGCAAGGGCGATGTACCCCTGAAGCTGTCCTTATCTCAACATACAGGGGACAGGAGGGTGGTCTTTATTTTAGATAAACAGCTATCAACAGCTGAGAGGAGCAACTGGTGGTGCTAATGTTTCTCCCTGAGTTCATGAGAAGAGCGTGAGTGTCTCCCTGAGTTAGCCTGACCAGCACGGAGGAGTGTATACATGGCACAGCCCAACAGAGACTATAAAAACTAAAGATCTAGCAAAAGCATTTTGAGGAGAGCAGTGGGCTTGACCTGGCTTTGACCCATGTATTTCTTCCCAGTTACTGGGGATGCCCAGCGTTGTGACAATGGACAGAGACCGGTAATGGGGATCATACTGGAATTGCGGTTGAACTGCGAATTGCATTGCTATATTTTGCTAAGTGTAACCTGCATTTGTATTATGGTGTTGGTATATTTTACATCACTCGCCTAAATCAGAAGTACCACGTAACATCAAATTTCTTCAAATAAGTACATTTGATATTAAACATCATACCCTCCATGTGTGGAATATCTAAAAGGTATTGAACTCTGACAGGCTCTTGGAGAGCTTGAGGAAATGGCATTTTGCAAAAGTTTTGGTTAGTTTCTCTGTATTACATCTTTTGGGAACATCTGGGGAAAAGAAGATTGCCTTGTGGTGGAACTGAACTATCAGGTGCCTTCAGGATATCAGGGGAGGTAATTTGCTATCCCTTCAGTTAATTGGACATGCAGAGGGCCTGACAGTTCATTACTGGTGTCAGTACCGGCTGTCTGCCGTGCATTAACTACCTGGCATTTCACCTTGCCCTAGAACATGATGCGGCACGTGAAAGAATGCTTTCTGTGACATACGTGCCCCTCACTAAAAAGAAAAAAAAAGAAAAAAAGAAAAAAAAAAGAAAAAAGAAAAAAATAAAAACGGAAAAAAAGAAAAAAGCAAAAAAGAAAAAAGAAAAAAAAGAAGAAAAAAAAAAGATGGGTAGGAAAGCGATATTTATCAAATGAGAGTAACAGCCCGCAGTCCTGCCTGTGTTAGTGCAGTGGGAAGCCACAGGAGGCCTGTGGAGAAAGTTATATAGTCTGGGGAGCATGCGGGGTGTGGGGAAAATCCCAGCACAGACAGTGAAATGCAAAGGTAGTGTAGTAAAATACAATGACAAAGCTCAGGTCTTAAGAGTTTTTACTTCTGAATGTCTAACAGTCTTTTACCCTCCATTTCTCTTAGAAAAGATGGATGCTGTTATGCATTTACAAAAAGTACAGCACTGTTTACCTGGAGCCAGCTTTTGATACCTCTGCTTGCTTACAGGAGATGTACCAGCTCTTGGAAGTTACTTGTCCCAAGCTGAAATGCCATGAATGCCTTCTGGCGCCATAGGTCAGCACTGCAGCACCGAGCAAAGCTCTTGTCGATGCAGCTACCGACTTTGGTACAGAGAGGGTGACTTTGGTACCCTCTGTACCATCAGGTTGCTGCTCTTACTACCCATTGCAGTGATAGAATCATAGAATCATGGAATCTTTAAGGTTGGAAAAGACCTCTAAGATCATCAAGTCATCAACCCAACACCACTATGCCTACTAGACCATGTCCTGAAGTGCCACGTCTACACATTTTTTGAACACCTCCAGGGATGGTGACTCCACCACCTCTCGGGGCAGCCTGTTCCAATGCCTGACCACTCTTTCAGTGAAGAAATTCTTCCTAATACCCAATCTAAATCTCCCCTGATGCAACTTGACACCATTTCCTCTTGTCCTTTTGCTAGTTACTTGGGAGAAGAGACCAACACCCACCTGGCTACAACCTCCTTTCAGGTAGTTGTAGAGAGTGATAAGGTCTCCCCTCAGCCTCCTCCAAGCTAAACCACCCCAGTTCCTTCAGCCGCTCTTCATAACACTTGTGCGCCAGACCCATTACCAGCTTCATTGCTTCTCTGGATACGCTCCAGCACCTCAATGTCCTTCTTGTAGTGAGGGCCCCAAAACTGAACACAAAACTCGAGGTGCGGGCTCACCAGAGCCAAGTACAAGGGGATGATCACTGCCCTGGTCCTGCTGGCCACATATTGCTGATACAAGCCAGGATGCCGTTGGCCTTCTTGGCCACCTGGGCACACTGCTGGCTCATATTCAGCCAGCTGTTGACCAACACCTCCAGGTCCTTTTCCACCAGACAGCAATAGGTTTCATTTAATGCTTACTCGTAAAAGTTTATTAGAACCTGACAAGGTTATAAGGTATATAGGTTGATTAAAACCTGACAGATTACATGAGGTAGCGATGCAGGGGTTGATTTTCCCTGAAGTAGCTCTTGGGGTACTCCTAACCATGGGTATTCACACGCGCTGTGGTGCAAGGTCTCACAAGGACACAGGGAGCAATCTCAGATGGGATACAAACAGAAAGAAATCAGGAAACTGCATTTCAAAGCTGGGGAGGGTTTCCTATTATGCTATGCCAAAGAAGAATATTATAAGAATCCTTCTTATAATACTGATTTTGTGAGTTTTATATTTATTACTAACTAATCTATGTGAAGTGTCTCATTCTTAGTGTGTCCACTGCAGCGGCTATAGTAAACAGTGAACATAACTGTTACACAAAGTGTGTAGTTGTCGAGCACGTGGGACAATGTCTCTCCTATATCCACGTGTATTAAGAAGCCCTCAGCAGGCTCAGTTAGGCCTAAAGCATTTGCCGCGTTGGCATGTGGCACATCTCGCAACATAGCCCCACCGCAAAATTGGGTGCCAATGTCATGCTCCACCTCCCTGTAGCCCAAGGCAAGCACGCCTGGAGTCATGGGGTTCCTCAGCTGAATGAGGTTGCATCAGGCAGTGGGAAAGGGGATGTGCGATTTCTGGAGAAAAATAATGTAAGAAAATTCAATGTGAAATCTTACGGAAAGGGGTTTTTTTTAGAATACAAAGTCTTTCTACTTTCCAGGCCCTTACTGCTGGTAACATTTACCCATGTACTCAGAAGCACCGAAATGTGTATATTCAAGTGGCCTGGCCGTGTCACTCTTGTGCAACGTAGAGGGACAAGGGACACCAGCTGTCCAGCCCGCTCTGTGTCTCTTGGGTTCTAGATCAGCAGTGACAGGAGTTGGAGAACACCCACTGGGGATGCATGGTGTATGCTCAGCATGAGTGCAGTTGGGAGAACGTTTAATTAGAAGCCTCTGATGATGTTACCCATTTTTCCAATGTGAGAGAGCAGCAAGAGCAGATCTGCTCTGCAGAGGAAG